TATATATATATATATATATTTTATTCTGCATCACTTCTTATCATGGGAACATAATATAATTGTCTTTAGGGATATATGTATATGGAATATGGTGCAGTTGAAGCTATAAAAAATTTTGTCGAAAAGGCCTAAACTGCTTGAGAAAAGCTTAGGACGTAAGTGGTTTTTATACCCCATCACCTAGAAATTCTTATAACTACGAATGTATTTTTATGATTGCAAATACCAAAATAATTAGCACTTATAACTCAGACGCTTCCAATTTCAAATAAATTTTAGCTCATAAGTTCAAATAAAGTCAACTGCAGGATCGAACTTAATTTTAAAATTTGAATACAAATAAATCACGATAGTTAAAATGTTTTGATGGCGATATGCAAGTTGCAAAAGGCTTCGCTCCCACTTATGTTGGTGGACGTAACCGCCCCATACAAACATCACAATTGATAACATTAGATGAATTGAAGATAAAAATATTACATCAATTGCATTAGAATAGTTCAAGCTTGGTCACCATACAATCAACACGAAGGTGTCATCTCTTTACTTTCCCCTTATATAAAAGAAGACGTGGTCGTCCAAGAACAAGTAGGATTATAAACATAATGGAGGAGATGAGAACAACAAACATAAGACTGTGTGGTTTTTATAAAAATACAGGGCATAGTCGAGCAACGTGTCTCTATAATCCAAGTACAAGCAGGTCAGAATAATATATTGCTACTAGCATACATCTTAAGTTACTTTTCGTTATATTTAATTATTTTCTTATAATTACATTTAACTTTCTGCGCTTCTTTTTGTAGAGATGGCTGAGATAGCAAGTTTGGGAGGTCACCTTCGCCGTGCTAAACAAAATGTTCAACCGACTAGAAGTGAACAACGAACACACTTATCTCCTAGTAATGCATCCTTAGGTGAAGCTCATCTTGCAACAAACCGTGTTAAAGTAATACAAAAAAATATTTTCCTTACTCTAAATTTCATATGAAATCATTATCATATCTAATTCAATTGAATTTATATAGAGCTAAATTCTTGAAGTTGAAAGTCATGTACTAATGGCCAGAGAATGGCTAGTCTAGTGCCCATGATTTATCCATACACTATGAATTGTAGGAGACGATTGTATTAGACATTGAACTACCTCAAAATTTGACCGCCATTTTATGGTTGTAATGGTCGAGTGATGCTACCCATTGACCATTACGTTTCATTTTCCTATCGGTAAAATAAATTTACAGTCAAATTTATATATTATTATGTTAATTATAATTTTCTTACGTATACACTGTACATATCTATCAGGTAAGATGACTATAACATTACAAGGCGTTCAAATACTTCTTGGAATTAAGGCAGAATGCCCTAGTGGGGCTCAATGTTATTGGCCCTGGGTTGCGCTGACCGAGTTGGGCAGCATGTTACGATGACCAATTAGGTGACCATTCTATGGGTGAAGTTATCTACCACCATCTCATAGACCATAACATTACATCAAAATTCTATATGAGATAGTCTCAATCACAAACTATCATGTCACAAGTCTCGATCCATATTATTTAGAATTCTATAGAGAGTTTTACATAGATTTACATCCAGGAGAATTTTGAAGGCATGTTAGGGCTTACATTTTGTTCCTATTATGATATTTCCTAATTCTAAATACCTTCGGGTTGCGTGTCTGTTTTGATTATTTACTATTATTAGAGGATTTGGAGGTATTTAGACGATAATCTTTAGGAGGCACGACTCTAGCATATCTATATAGGTCTTAGCAGCACTTGCATGTTAGTAAGCCCACTTTTCATGCTTCGGCTCCGCAGGAATTAACATGCAAATCACTCGTATTCAAGTATAAAATTAAAATTTTCATTTACATATCCACACACAATTTTGTTAATTACATTCAACTCAGTTGTTCAAATAACATGTGGGTGGAATGAGGAGTGGGTCCATGATACGTCGATTCTAAATATTAAGATATATAGAGATGAACCTGATGGATTCTGATAGAGCCAGATATAATACTCATTTTCTATTTAATCATATATTATTATCTTAAATTTATATTAGATATAATTTAATTTATAATTTGATACATAGATTATTTGGGCACCGTATTTATTTGTTTAGGGTTTAATATTACATGATAAATATTTTAAGAACATAGATATTTGGATTGTCCATGTTCCCCTAATATGCTGGAAGTGTGTCGAGTGGCACCTTTTTTATCACATTATGTGACACTTTTCCAGTATTGAGTCTATATCTACTAAACCCATCGAACAAGGTTTTGAGAGAGTCGATGGGCGAGTTAGAGTAGGACTTGATTAGGAACAGTATTACCTTAAATATATCGATATATGAAATAATCGTCGAGCATATATTGTACCATTAAACCCACCGCATGGAGACAGAGAAGGAAAGTTAGCTCATTATTTGTGGTGGTATCAAAATTTAGCATCACTCTACTTAGTGAAGCCTCCTGCTGATGCTGAAAGTCTGATACATATTATCCACGATCACCAAAAGAGAGAATAGCGATGTGAATTTACATTATTTTAAAGCAACAACTAATTTCTTCTATTATAATACATAATAAAAATTTAAAGTTATCAAGTATATAGTTGGATTACTTCATTCGTAGCAATGATATTGGAGAAATGTTTGGAGGGGATCACGGCACAAGTGCTAGTTCAATGAAACAGTGTTATGATGAGATTCTGGAGCTATCACATAGAGCGAAAAAATCAATACATATTGCTTATCATGCATTTGATCGGCCAAGTGGACATGACTTTGAAATGTGGTCATCTCATAAAACAGATGTTAGGCCGTAAGGCCCCCGTAGATCGACTTTTGATGCTCTAAGTCGGTTGCCTTCCACAATTGCGAGACGATCAACATTAAATACTCCAAGGAAATCTTTAGTTAGCAAAACACAAAGATCTTTGTTTCAAGGGTCGCATGGACAACATTATCCAAAGTCATCTGCTTATCTTGCCCAATCATTATTTGTGAGACCCTCCGGCTATGCAATACCATTGGCATATGATGTTCTATCATTTGAGTTGCAGTGAACAACTACTACTGGCGGTGAGTTGGATTGAAATTTTCAGAACAATCCCATGTTTGTGCCTATTGTTTATGTAGGCATGGATTTCAGTACACCTCAATGCTATTCAACATCAAATCTCAATGAAAAAAATTACAAGATCAGAACAAGTCACGAATGATATAACCGAAAGCGACGGTATCGAAAATGAATTTCAAAAACACACAGCGACCACCGTCTCAATGCACACCGGGCTCATATGTCATTCCATCCCAGGTAAAAGATACTTTTTTTTTTTTGTAAACATTATGCTAATTCATTTTATTCAATCATATTTTTTTCGATACATTGATGAAATAAATTTTACAAATGTATTTTATTTTATATATTCGTTGATTTGAAATAAAATGTAATTGATATATTAAAATAAAGTTGTGTTTAGAATCACTCAAAATATCAGTCTTAAGAAAATAAAACGATTTATTTTAAAAATAAAAACTATAAATACTAAACGATTGTAACTAAGGCCCATACATAAGATGGCCCAATAATATTTTATCTTTGAATTGCAATCTTCTGTTTGGGATGTTGAGAAGTTCGGCAAAGCCCATGACTTGATCCATTCGGCTATGTGACATGCAAAGGAGATTGATTTATTTTAAAAACTCAATGTTATAAAAAAGTCCATTTTTTAAAAAATAAAAAATTGTATTAAAAAATATATTGAAGATTTAGATCATTTCAAAAAAAAAATATATTATTATTTTTTAAAATGTGAATTGTGTCGAAATGGGCAAAGAACAACTAATTCTATATCTTACTAATTTTGACCAAAGATTTTTTTTTTTTTTTTTTTTGCGATAAATCTTGATATGTCAAAGACAATTTGATCATTTGATTTATTTCTTCAAAGAATTCATTTGTTAGTAGTGTCAAAATTGGATTGAAAAAATATTATCCATATTGCTTAGAAATAGTAGAATTTTACTTTTGATAATATATTCCTCTTTTATATATAAGTTAACTATTATTTTATAAATGATTATATTTAAGGCAATGCTAGTGTGTGAGATGATGCTCCATTAACTTGATTTTTTTAAGGACTGAGAGAATTTAATTGCACACACATGCACATGCACGCACCCAAATATGTTAGGTTTTGAATAAAATATCTTATTGTTAGAGCTAAAGCACTCAACTACTCGACTAAGGAGGGCTGCATTCTATTAGTTTTACTAGACTAACATATTTAGCCTTACGTACCTTGCCTTATTTCTAATTTAAATTTCAATTTTATAGGATGATTCACTCAAAAGAGATTTGATTTTGATGTAGGTTTGAGCTTAAGGATATTTAGTTGGTCTTGAGGCTTGTATAATGTTAAATAAACCTCATTTGATTATTTAGCTTAACTAATTATGTGACAATCAAATGATTATATTTAAATCAAACACTCATAGCCGAGTTTTACATACCAACTTAAAATATTAATATATGTTGTCGTTACTAACTCAACCTGGTGGCTAGACCAAGATTGCAGTAACTCAGTTTGGACTAAGAGCATTCAAGAGTCTATATCTAGTTCTTTAAGAAAATAAAGTGGCACATGTGATTGCACTTATTTAGCTTGCAAGTTATAGTGGATTAGTTATGCAAAATTAAGAGCTTAACAAGAGGGTTAGAAGGGGTTATTTAAAGCTCCTCCTGTACATTTCAAAGCTAAATAATTCTTACGTTTATTTTAACAAATAAAGTTTTAGCTAGTACTCCTTATTATGAAGGCTTAGATCCACCAAATAATATGGATCTTAATAGGGCCCAAATGTACAACAATATCTCTTGAATAGAATATATATATATATAT